TAGGAGCTACGCTACAAGAACAAATTTTCTACATAATTGTATACATAATTACAAGTGGCATTGATCAAAACCTTTAATTAAAATGTGACACTTTCACATCAACGACATGATGGTTGCCACATCACATTATGTCATCCATTGTGTACATATATTATGTATACTTAGCATTTTCCATATATATATATATATATATATATATGAAACATTTTGCTTTTCTTTTGAAAATTTATCATATGGCTTTTGATCGTCAATATTTTCCATAAAAAAAATGCATCCAACCCAACGAATGTCTATATATATACGGGCGTGAAACACTGTCCTTGCCTTGGCAATGAATTTGCAAAGCCTCTCCCTTTCATTCTCCTGCAATTTCTTTGCAAACTCATGATTTTGAACAAATATTTGCAGGGATTACGTAACATTAAAAACCCAGAATATTTTTTTTCTTTTTACAGAGTATCATAAATTCAAAGATGCAGAGGATTGCAGCGAGACAAACATCATGGGAACTAAGACAATTCCGAGGTTTACGGCGTTCGCATTCACCGGCCGAGAATACCGGTGCATGTCTCACCGGAAAAGAAGCCGGCATTATTCCCGACCTGCCAGCGTTTGATTATACTCCGCCGCCGTACAGTGGCCCCGCCGCCGACGAGATCATGAGAAAGAGGAGAGAATTTCTCAGCCCATCAATGTTTTGCTTCTACAAGAAACCTGTGAGTTCAAGGATTCAATTCGATTGCTTTATTTTAATTTAGTTTTTCTTTTGATGTTGCTAAGGAAACCATTTTAATTTTCTTCTGTTTTTATAAATTTTATATGCATAACAGCGAGAGATGAATGAGCCTAGAATAGTAGAATTGAAGCACCTCGATCGAAGTGGTAGTCAAGTTTTATATGTTTTGTTCGATTTTTGCCTTTTGTGATGTCAAAGGCCTAGTTATAAACTTACATGATATGATTTTTGCGTATGAATGTGATGCAAATTCTAGAAGTACGTATCCATTGATCATTTTCAATTTTATTAATCAAGTTCAATAATGATTAAACAATCATAAGAAAAGAAATGATCTCAAGCTATGATTGGCACACAGCACGACATAATGGACAGGATCTTAGCTTCTTTTGTTTATCAAACATGTATTTAAAGGAGTGAAATAGTGTTTTTAAATTATGATTTCAAATGATTTGGAATTGCTAGTACATTTGATAGTGCTTGTAAGATATGAGTCTTACGGAATGTGTGGATAAAAAGTATATTTGGTATGCAGAATTCCTTCTTACCTAACTTATATCTCAGAGTAATTTATGGACAATAGCAATGATGTTAGATATTCATTTCAATTCTACAATGTCTAATTGATTGGTAATGTACTTCGTGTAGGTGAATGTAGTACATGGTAAGATGCAGTACTTGTTTGATGACAATGGCCGCAGATACCTTGATGCTTTCGGTGGTATTGCCACTGTGAATTGTGGGCACTGTCACCCTGATGTGGTTAAGGCTATCGTTGACCAAACGAATAGTTTACAACACTCCACTATTTTATACCTTAATCATGCAATTGCTGATTTTGCCGAGGCACTAGCCTCAAAGTTACCCGGTGATCTCAAGGTGCTAAACCCTTTTTCAAATGGCATAATTTGTCCGAATGGATAAGCAACAAGTTTGATTAGGCAGCATTCTAATGGAATTCGTATTGACGTGTAGGTTGTATTTTTTACAAATTCTGGTACAGAGGCGAACGAATTAGCTATGATGATGGCGAGATTGTACACAGATTGTCATGATATTATATCACTGAGGAATGCGTACCATGGAAATGCTGCTGGGACCATGGCCGCCACTGCACAATGCAATTGGAAATTCAATGTTGTGCAGGTACCAAGCATTTCCGACTTTTATCATTTGAACATTTATAGGAAGAGTAAAAGGGCTAATCCAATGCTAAAAATATATCTCTAAAATCGAATGATTTCATTAGAACAATTACATTCATTATCTATAAATTGCGAGGAGTAATAAGTGTACTTATTTCAGCATTCTTATGTTTGGTAGTTAAATCTGGTCCTCATTAGACAACTTGTTGTTTCTTAATGGTGATGAACTATTCAGGGTCGTATAAGTTTGAAAGGATTGATCAAAGAATGTTTACTGAAATCTCCATTTGATTTTATCTTATAAACGTCGACTGCATTTAATTTTTAAGAACATGTAGCTCCAGTGTGAAACTGTAGTACAGACTTGTTCTGCATATTTTAGTTCTACATGAACAATGAACTTCCTTATAATACCCGAGAAGTCCAATACTTCCAAACTTCCAGTACTGCTAAACAATTTGATTAGAAAGAGTAACTCTTCTCGACTAATGCATGTACTACCTTTCTACAATTTGTATGTCTTTCCTTTGGAATGAGCATTATGATAGTGCATAAGATGTGCGTTTACAATCATAAACAGAGTGGAGTTCACCATGCTCTGAATCCAGACCCCTATAGAGGTCTATTTGGTGCAGACGGTGAAAAATATGCACACGACGTTCAAGATCTAATTCAGTTTGGAACTTCAGGCCATGTTGCCGGTTTTATTTCTGAAGCTATCCAGGTAATGTCCAATTTATATTGTCATCTCCATTTTCTCCTTGTAGCCTCTCCAATCTACACTAAATTCAAACCCCCACTGGGATGGACTTTTGATTAGAGCAAAACTATAAGACAGGACAATCTTAGGAGGGGGATGTATCATATCAAGGACATTCAGACCCTATACTAAATTCCTTGTGCCCATCATCATAACTTTTCTCATTGTCCTCGTGAAAGCAAGCCGGCCTTTTCTCATGTAAACTATTTCTCTATGGAACAGGGTGTTGGCGGCATAATTGAGTTAGCTCCGGGCTATTTGCCTTCTGTATATAACATCATCAGAAAAGCGGGAGGTCTTTGTATTGCGGATGAGGTTCAGTCTGGGTTTGCTCGCATCGGGAGCCATTTCTGGGGATTTGAAGCCCATGGTGTTGTTCCCGACATAGTTACAATGGCAAAGGTTGTACACCATTTCACACTTGATGCAAAATATTGGTTTAATTCTTTTAGAGAAAAAATTGACCCATTCTTTTTCAGAAATGCAGGGGATTGGAAATGGAATTCCCCTCGGTGCTGTAGTAACTACTCCTAAAGTTGCTGAGGTATTGACTCGTCGATGTTACTTCAACACCTTTGGAGGAAACCCTGTATGTACTGCTGCAGGGCACGCTGTTCTCAAAGTGATTATGAGGGAAAAACTTCAGGAGAATTCTCATGTCGTTGGTTCCTACCTGAAAGAGCGCCTCAATGACCTCAAATCCAAACATGAAAGTAAATTTCCCTTCTTTAACGTGTTTGTGCTGTATTTGTATTTCGTGCATATAGTATTACTGAGTATTACTAAGTAATAAATAATATCTTCGTTAGTACTAACGATTAAGTGTGATAACCATCATTTATTGACTGTGGCGTCTTAATTGTTGTCGGTGGAATTGATCAAAGTGACATTAATTGAATCAAATTAAGACATAATTACCCAATTAACCAAAATGAAGTAAAGTTACTTAGTTGATATTAAACTATAGTTACCGCGAATAGAATTTACCCCATTTTCATCTAATGTAGGACTTCTTCTTCTCACATTATGGTGTAGGCAATGCATTTAGGTAAGCTTTGTTTCGATAGTCCCCATCAAAACATTGAAATACGAAGACAGTAGAATAATTGTTGCCTATACCTAATTAGTCTATTTATTAACCATGGATCTATGGAGTCTCTAATCTACTGTACACCTTTTTCCATTGGCCGCAATTCGACTTAATATTTTCTTCCTATATGGGCGTGCTTCTTTTTGTGTAACGTTGCCAAGTTCTTGCCCATTGCAAGAACATGTTAATTTAGCCTAGGAGCGGAGCCAGGGACACAGAAAAAATAAATAAAAATTTATACTGGCTATATAGAGAAAAATCCCTCGAAAAAAAAAATATATATATATATTACTTATAAAATCCGAAATGGGCTTGGGGTAGCCCTCCCTCCGCCCTAAGTCATCCTTCTTCAACCCACGAATTCAACCCTTTCGAGAAACCGAAACTTAAGAAATAAGGACAGAAATGTAGAAGAAATAGAAGATAAGAACAGTTTGGAAGAATGCTTTCTCATATTCAAAGTGAACTTTGTACAATTACAAGTGAAATCCCTCAATGTCACAATGTGCTTCCATCTATGTCTATTCAATGAAATAAACAAATATTTTTTGTGATACTACTTTCACAAGAACCTAATCGAACACATGTAATCATCTTCGATATAGTGTAATGCTGCAATGACATCAGGTGGACATAGCCCTTGCATTGATAGTGAACCACATTAAATTGTGTGTGTTCTTTTTTTTTTTTTTTCCTTTCGTGTTGTTAATTGCTTTCTATAATACGAGTTATTTGTTTAATCAATAACATTGTTGTATGTATATGTAGTCATTGGTGATGTAAGAGGAAGAGGATTGATGCTTGGGGTCGAACTAGTCACTGACCGCCAACTAAAAACTCCTGCGAAGGTTGAAATTCTGCAAGTGATGGACCAAATGAAAGGTTTGTGTTTGCATTTCACTTTGATCTCAGTGTTAAGCTTATTTTCGAGCTACATTTTAATTAACTTCTGTTTAAATTTCAGATATGGGAGTATTGGTCGGCAAAGGTGGTTTCTACGGAAATGTGTTCAGACTTACACCTCCGCTGTGCTTCAGAAAGGAGGACGCCGGTAGGTTGATACTCGATATTTTTTTATGCAACTAAATTGCTATTCTTTTTTCAGAAGCTGAATTTCCAAACTTCTTTAATGCAGACTTTCTTGTGGATGTTATGGACTATGCAATGACAAAATTATGAAGTTTCCATCAAAATTCACGGTGGAACAACTCCTCCACCTCTCATTTGAAGAACAAATATCTTATGATGTAAATTGAAATATTCATATCATTATTCATCAAATGTAGTGTTAAGACTTCCTTCTACGTATCTTAGTTCGCAATGAATATTTGATACGGAAAATGTAAGGCTGCTTCCATGTCTTGTGACGTATTTATGTATGACATGTAAATATATGCATTTTATTCAGTTACGAAAGTAACTTTTGCTTATTTTTTAACCAGGGGACTAAGAATAAGGATAATAGTCGAGTCATTATATACAATCATATTGTCTCCAAAAATGATTTAGGTATTTAAATTTTATTAATAACACAACAAATGATGGGAAGAGGTTGTAACGTATAGAATAAGAGCAGAAGCTTATTAAAGAAGAAGGATTTTTTTTAATAATGGACCGAAAAGAATGATCGAAAATGATTCATTAAATCAACCTCAAATATAATGAAAATTTAATATTTTTTTGTCGATTTTACGAGGTGTGCATCACCACAGAGTGAAAAAGCACCATGTTAAGGGTAGAGTGGAGCCTCGAATCACCACCTTCCGACCACCAAGACCACCGGATCCGACCACCACCAATCTCGCCTCACTCTCCTCTACAACCTCCAACCAACCGTCAACCACAAAACATCAGGAATCAGTAGAAAATCGAGCCCAAAAACCCCATCTCGCGAACTCCTTTTATGCCGAAAACCCCACCTCCGGTGACGCCTATGTTATTTGGTGAATAATTGGTGCAATTGATTCATGACACAATGTATTACCAACTTGAATGGAATGTATTAAGGCCGAATTTGATGATTGAGGTAGTGTAGAAACCTCAATCGATGGAGGACAAAACGGACTGCCTTGCGTCCCAGCTTATTCGTCCATATTGAGCCAAATTACTGATGACTCGTGGTTGGAGTAGATGCGCCATAAAGGGAGGATGCTAGAATAGGTGGTCCGCGATCGTGGGGACCACCGTCATAGCCGGAAAAAGTGATTGTTGGCCGCGAGTTCGCTGATTCTAAATTCTGTTGTAGATTTAGATTTTCTATATTTTTTGATGTAATAGGACCATGTATGGATGCGTCATGTTGAGCTTGAGCGACCTATAGGGTGTTATTAACATGGGCGTTGTCGGCAGTGGGTTTTTCGGTAGAAAAGGAGTTCGTGAGATGGGGTTTTTGGGCTAGATTTTCTGCTGATTCCTGATGTTTTGTAGCTAACAATTGGTTGGAGGTTGTAGAGGAGAGTGAGGCAAGACTCGTGGTGGTCAGATCCGGTGGTCTTGGTGACCGGAAGGTGGTGATTCGAGGCTCTAAAGGTGGCACTTAATAGCAAGAAATTTGCACTTGAGGTGGTCAAGCGTCTATGTCCACATGTTTTGGTCCTTTAAGTTTGAATAAAAATTATAACGGTTTTTCGGTGACCGTTTGTGAAAGCGCGTGAAACTTTAGTAATGACCGTTTTGTAACTTTTAGGTAAGTTCAGTGACCATTTGTGAAATTAACCCAAAAAATGTGAAAGTTTAAAATTATCCAAATAGTTTAGAGCGGAACTAAATCAATTAAAAGCAACAAGTCACTTATTTAGAACTTGTTTGTCTCCCATTATTGGGAGAAAATTAGTGTAATGAATAGTATTTTTTGGAGAATGTGTGGTTGAAAATTAAAGTAACTTTATTGGTTTGTGTGTAGAATATTTTGTTGGATGAATGTGTGGTGGAGAATCTTACTGTAGTAAACAATTTTTTGGATTAATGGTAGACAAATAGGGGCTTATTGTTTCTAAATGATTAAGGTAATTAATTCAATTAATTCTTATAATTAAAAAATCACAAACATTTAGATCAAAGTAACGAATAAATAAATAACACCACATATGATTATGGAGGAAAATTCTTGACTGGATAAAAACCTCTGGACAAACTTTTCAATAAAATCTACTGGAATAGTTAAATTACAGTTAGTCCAGACACTGTTAAATTTTAGCTGACTTTGACCACCTAACTTGTAAATCACCAAGGAACTTCGTTGGTAGTGCAACCCCCACTTCCCGCAACTATGGGCTACTTTTTTCTTCCTTACCCCAAATCTCCATAACTCTGAAAGCTAATTGGAAAATGTAGGATTTTGTTTTGGTATATGTTCATAGATCTTTCTTTGCTTTGATCTGTAGGCAAAAACGAAGAGATATTGGAATATAAATATGGCTTTCAAAGAACAAACTGAATCGAATTTTACTATTCCTTGGATAACCACACCGCTCAACCCCAAGAGAGCTCGAGCTGAGCAGTGGTCAGTATTTTTGTCATAACTTTTTATCTCGATGTCCAATTGAGACAATTCAAAGGGCTTTGGAACTCTAACTCAAAAGGCTACAAACTTTCTGAAATGAAGTTTTCAAATTCGAATGTTTTTTATGTGAAAAATGCGTCGAAACTTGTGACTAAATATTTGAAACAAAACTTGACACTTATTTTACTTTCAATTGCATTCCATTGATTATATGCGATCTTCTTTGACTTTTTGACTCCTCAAAGAACTATACTACCAAATCCAAACTATTTTTATTATAATTAAGACTCAATAACTCCTATTTTAACTTTGATTACAATTCAATAAATTCCTAATAAAATTAAGACATGATTTTAACTAAAAAAATTATCAATTATAGATTTGAAAATTGCTAATTTTTCTAATTACAAAATTAGACCTAACAAAATGATTTATGTAGTTGATCCTAAATTTCGTATGCGCAAGGCTTGGTTTGTTGTTGTCATGGATTTTTTATCGATCTAGCTATGTAGGTTTTATTTTTCACGAATTTTGGGATGGAAGCAAATGAATTAGCCATGTTACTGGTTAGTTACCTAAAGTTTATAGCAGCATTTAAAAGGTAGGAAGCCTTTGTATTACAGATGAGGTCCAGGGGGTTTTGCACGAAAGGGGAACCATTTTTGGTCATTTGAGGCACAATGTCGTGCCTGACATAGTAAACAATGGCAAAGGTTTATATTCAAAATACTTACTATACCGTTAAGTACAAAACTTTCGTAGAGTGCCATTTCTAATTTTGAATAACCAAGGCATTGGAAACAGGATCCCTCTTGGTGCAACGGTAACTACTCCTGAGATTGCAGACATATCGACCCTATATGTATTGCTACAGGACTTGCTATTCTTCAGTAAGAGCAGAAGCTTATTAAAGAAGAGAGGATTTTTTTTAATAATGGACCGAAAAGAATGATCGGAAATGATTCATTAAATCAACCTCCAATATAATGAAAATTTAATATTTTTTGTTGATTTTACGACGTGTGCATCACCACAGTGTGAAAAAGCACCATGTTAAGAGCAAAGTGGAGCCTCGAATCACCACCTTCCGACCACCAAGACCACCGGATCTGACCACCACCAATCTCGCCTCACTCTCCTCTACAACTTCCAACCAACCGTCAACCACAAAACATCAGGAATCAGTAGAAAATCGAGCCCATAAACCCCATCTCGCGAACTCCTTTTATGCCGAAAAACCCACCTCCGGTGACGCCTATGTTATTTGGTGATTAATTGGTGCAATTGATTCATGACACAATGTATTACCAACTTGAATGGAATGTATTAAGGCCGAATTTGATGATTGAGGTAGTGCAGAAACCTCAATCGATGGAGGACAAAAAGGACTGCCTTGCGTCCCAGCTTATTCGTCCATATTGAGCCAAATTACTGATGACTCGTGGTTGGAGTAGATGCGCCATAAAGGGAGGATGCCAGAATAGGTGGTCCGCGATCGTGGGGACCACAGTCATAGTCGGAAAAAGTGATTGTTGGCCGCGAGTTCGCTGATTCTAAATTCTGTTGTAGATTTAGATTTTCTATATTATTTGATGTAATAGGACCATGTATGGATGCGTCATGTTGAGCTTGAACGACCTATAGGGTGTTATTAACATGGGCGTTGTCGGCGGTGGGTTTTTCGGTAGAAAAGGAGTTCCTGAGATGAGGTTTTTGGGCTAGATTTTCTGCTGATTCCTGATGTTTTGTAGCTGACAGTTGGTTGGAGGTTGCAGAGGAGAGTGAGGCAAGACTAGTGGTGGTCAAATCCGGTGGTCTTGGTGGCCGGAAGGTGGTGATTCGAGGCTCTAAAGGTGGCACTTAATAGCAAGAAATTTGCACTTGAGGTGGTCAAGCGTCTATGTCCACGTGTTTTGGTCCTTTAAGTTTGAATAAGAATTATAACGGTTTTTCAGTGACCGTTTGTGAAAGTGCATGAAACTTTAGTAACAGTTTCTGCAAGTTTTAAATTTCAATGACCGTTTTGTAACTTTTAGGTAAGTTCAGTGAGCATTTGTGAAATTAACCCAAAAAATGTGAAAGTTTAAAATTATACAAATAGTTTAGAGCGGAACTAAATCAATTAAAAGCAACAAGTCACTTATTTATTGTTTCTAAATGATTAAGGTAATTAATTCAATTAATTCCTATAATTAAAAAATCACAAACATTTAGATCAAAGTAACGAATAAATAAATAACAACACATATGATTATGGAGGAAAATTCTTGACTGGATAAAAACCTCTGGACAAACTTGTCAGTAAAATCTACCGGAATAATTAAATTACAGTTAATCCAGACACTGTTAAATCTTAGCTGACTTTGACCACCTAACTTGTAAATCACCAAGGAACTTCGTTGGTAGTGCAACCCCCACTTCCCGCAACTATGGGCTACTTTTTTCTTCGCGTGGATAAAAAAGAACGAACTTTGTTTTCAAGCATCGGAACTTGAAGCGCCTTACCCCAAAACTCCATAACTCCGAAAGCTAATTGGAAAATGTAGGATTTTGTTTTGGTATTTGTTCATGGATCTTTCTTTGCTTTGATCTGTAGGCTGAAGCAAGAGATATTGGAATATAAATATGGCTTTCAAAGAACAAATTCAATCGAATTTTACTATTCCTTGGATAACTA